GAGAAACTTTATATCTTACTCATATTTAAACATGAAACTTTTGAATTGAGATTAGAGAAATATAAAATTAGATAATTATATCTTAACATATAATGCGTAATTATTTTTAAATAGTTAGAGATAAGAAAACGGAAACTTATCATATATTTTAATGGAACAACAATCACTTTTAAGAATTACAATTATTTAGTAGAATAAAGAAAGTAAGAATTAATAAATACCAAATCTATATATATAATGAGAGAGTTCTCTCTCCATCTAAGGTGTCCACATCAACATTCATGTCATCACATTTTATTATTTTGGTAGGATCCATATATCTTATTTATTAAGAAAAACATATTAAAATAAATTAATTCACATAATTTATATTATTACCCTCCATTTAAAAAAAAAATTACAAAAAAATTAAATATGAAAAAACGGAAAAACAAATATAAAACAGATAATGAATAATTATATCTTACTCATATTTAAACATGAAACTTTTGAATTGAGATTGGAGAAATATAAAATAAGATAATTATATCTTAACATATAATGCATAATTATTTTAAAATAGTTAGTGATAAGAAAACGGAAACTTATCATATATTTTAATGGAACAACAATCACTTTTAAGAATTACAATTATTTAGTACAATAAAGAAAATAAGAGTTAATAAATACCAAATTTAAAGGTTCTTACTTAATAAAAAAGTAATTTATTTCTAAAAAAAAAAAATTAAAATTTGAGAATATATTTGTTAAGGTTAAAGTATCAATTCCTTATACCGGTTAAAAAATAAGAAGGATTGAGTACATATTATTGTTTATAATTATAATATAATATAAATAGTTAAATTAAGAAATTTGTCTATATTATTAATGTTTTCTTAATTAAAACATGGAGGGTTTTATATAAAAAATAAATACCTAAGAAGAAAAACTAAATAGTAATCAGTGTTTAGGAAATTAACATAGAATGAAAAAAAATTAAGGTGATTTGAAATAAAACAAAGACCTATGTTTTAGTAATGGTATATTGAAGAGTTTAATAAAACTGTGTAATAATAATCTAATCGAATAATAAAATTGTGTAATAATAATATTTGAGAATGCTATTTGGAAATTAGAATATTAATGGTATATTGAAGAGTTTTTTAATTAGAAAGAAGAATGATTTTGTTTTTTTTTTTTAAAATAAACGTATTTTAAAATTAGAATAACCGGATTGAGGACGAACGGCGAGGTAGACAATGATTGTGGTTGATTTACTCTTACTTTGTTTTGTTATTTCAGTTTCCCTGTTTTTGTTTTACTCTGTTTCTAGCAAACTCTTTATTTGTTTCAATATTAAGACGACAAAAAAAAAAAAATAGAATAACTTATGATTTCGTAATTTACATATTTTAGAAAAAATCAACACTAAGAATACTATCTAGAATCATAATATACGTCAAATTATGTATGTGAAAAGAGAATTTTATATCTTTCAAACAGTCAAGATAAATGAAAAACTTGACGTTAAAATCCGATGTTTGTGAATAGCAATGAGTTTATATATGAGATTTGTTGTATACAAAAGAATTTTACATCCACCAAAACATGGTCAAAAAAACCTTATGACAAAACATTTCATAAAATTTTCTGATGTTCACTTTAATAAAAAGATTATGCAACTTATAAAAAAAGAATTGAGTATTCAAAGATAGGAAGGAGAAATGATATACGATATATCTTGAGAACTAATTCACAATCGAGTATATTATATATGAGTCAATATAAGGCGAAAAGAGAGTAAATATCGGGAAACAACGACTGAATCCTAGAAGATAACGAAAGAAATTGTAATGAAACGTGTGAATTTTTTTTTACTATATTGGAAAGATAATGCACATGAATAAAGTAAAAAATATTAAATTCAAATGATTAGATTTATACTCAAAGATTCGCATTGATAAAAAAAATAAATAAAAATCCCGCGCAACGCGCGGGTACATAATCTAGTGTTCTATAATTGTTGAGTATGGACTGCCTTATGAATCACTTACTTTTTCACAGAAGACAAAAAAAAATTAAACCATGTGCAGACCCTGTTCTTTTTGTATTTTACAAAAAAAAACCATGAATAGACCAATTAGCATGTGGTTCATCCACTTATTTAAACCTAAAACTGAAATTTTTCCACTCAAAACCAATTTCATTTCGTTTGAATAAAGAAAGTATTGCCTCATCGTGAGTGATCACTGTTTTGTTAATGAAAAATGTCAACGAGACATATATGCCAAATCAGTTACAATATATTACATGAATTGATATTAGGTTTTAATTCTTGAAGAAGTCAAAGACATAAAGTAAACCAATAAACATGAATTAGTGAAAAAAGAAAAAATATAGATTACCCCATCGCGGGAAAAAAAAAAAAGCTCCTCTCTCTCTCAGACCTAACCTGGCTAGTGGCTTCCACAGCACTGGTGCTGGTCTCCCCCTGTAGTAGTTTCTTTTCTCTTTTTGGTTCTACTGTTTTTCTGCGATGTGGTGAAAATCTTGCCTTGCTTCGTCTGGATTTGGGTGGTGGTTATGGGTTGTCTTTGGCCGGAGTTGGAGGACGAAGTTGGCTTCCTGCAAACCATCTTCGCCTGCGACTTTCTTCTTCCTCCCCGGATCGTTTCAGGCTCGCTGGGTGGGTCTCTCCGACCTTGATGTGGAGTTGAATGTTCTCCGATTGGTTTTTGTGGTTCTCCGATCTGTGATTTTCGTCTCTGTTCTTGTCTGATTGGGATTCGATTTTGGTTTGTCGAGTTTTCCGGCTGCGTCCTTTGGATCTGCGGCAACGGCCTTCGTCGACATCTATCTCACAGGTCGTCCCTCAATTTACCTTCGGTTAATTGCTTTGTTGTTGGAGTATATTTGGTTGAGAGTAGAAGCCTTAGTTTCAAGTTTAGGGCTGGCAATATTGACTTCTAGTTCTGCCTCCTGTTACTTTCTGCCCGGTTATTGGTGTTTTGAGTTTGTGAAGGTTTCGTTTTGTGGGTTCTTCATTCGGATGGTAGTCTCCTGCAAAGGCATCTACTAGCTCTCTTCCTAATCTTTTTTAGATTTAAGATTTGAGTTCAAGACGATGTGGTAGGCTCGGTCTTCATTCCTTCTCTTGCGTGGCGTAACCAGTTCTTAGGCTGTAGATGGTTTTGGCTGGGTCTACGAATGTCCGCGTGTAAGGTTTGTTGGTCCTCTTTGGCGTTTTCCCCTTCGGATCTCAAGGCTTCTCCTTGTCCTTTCACCTGCTTGTATTCTCTGGTTTTTGGTGTGGTAGTGATGGTTAGGATCTGTGCTCTGATCTTCTTATTTGTCTGTGTTCGTTTCTGCTGGGTTTGTGGTTGTGTGAGCTTGGTTTAGTATCCTTCTCGGGCCTTTCATATAAAGGCAATCTAATGATGGGTCCTCTTGTTGCTCTTGTTGGTAACCACTTTCCAGCGCCCAAAATATTCTATGGAAATGTTCGTCGGATGCTTTTAGTGAAGAGTTTGCAGTTGTGTTGCTTGAGTCTTAGGTATTAGTCATTCCCTGTACTTTAAGGTTTTTCTTCTTTAATGTCTGCCTTTTTTGGCCTTTGTCTCTGGGGGTTTCTATGTACCCGCCGGCTTTGTTTTCCGGAAGGATTTATTTCCTTGCCGCTATGTATTATTTCCAAGTATCTTATCAATGAATTATTCAGACGAAAAAAAAAAAAAAAAGATTACCCCATCGCGTCGAATTCGAGACGTGACTAACAAAAACTTGTTATGAAGATAGTGGACTAAAGAAAATACTTTCTTTCTTCAAATGAAATGAAACTTATTATTATGGGTTAAGAAAATAGTCTTTAAGAAACACAGAGAAACATAAGTTCAAAACGTCCCGAGTTCGACGCAATGGAGTACCTCTTGAAGACGTCGTTTCGATTTAACAGAGACTTTTAAGGGAAAGTTAACCCCGTTAACGGAAACTTAACGACATACCTAAAATGGCTAAGTCAACGAAACTTGACTATTTTATCAAAAAGTCAAACTAAACTTTGTGATTTAAATGACATTTTGAAAGTTCATGTGTTTTTCGTCCCAAATTTGAAAGTTGGCGTTTTTTTTTACATTTTCCCCACTGATTATATATGAGGCCAATGATTTACAAAAAAATATTTCTCCCATGTTATATATTCATGAGTGGAGATAAAATATTTCTCATTTGTAATTACATGGTTGTGTGATATATGTTATTAATGCTTCGCCGTACTGCATAAAAATAATATCCGAAAAAGATGAAATATATAAATGCTAGAGATTAGGGCTGGACATAAAACCCGAAAACCGAAAACCGAACCAAAAAATCTGATTCCAAAACCGAACCGAATAATCACAAAACCTGAACAGATAATGAATTCTCCATTCCGAATTACCTGAACCTCGAACCCGATTCGAACCGAAAACCGAAAAGATATCCAAAAACTCAAAATAAAATTATATATCCAAAAATATTAGTTCTATTTAGTTAGAATTTTATACCCAAAAATACCAAATAACCAAAATAACCAAAATAACCTTAGATATTCAAAAAAATATTTATTTATATTTGTTAAAATTATACATTTTTTGCAAATTTTAGTAAGATTAAACAAATTTATATTAAAATTGAACACATTGTGATGAAAAAACTCATCATTTAGGTTATCTAAGGTTATGATGTGCTGAAGATGAGTCTGTGCTATAATATTATTAACCCATCATTTAGAGATGTGCCTATTGCAAGATTTTCATATCATCATTTGTGATAAAAAAAACTCATCCGTCATTATGGGCAAATTATTATATAGTTTGGATCTTTGGTCTTCCAATTGAACATCTAAAAAATAGATGTTATATTAAATTATTTTCAAAGGAAGTTGAATATATATTTGGTCCTATATACTTGAATGCGATCATTTTTGTATCTTGCATATTGTAGCTGAAAAAATAGTATTTTCTACTAATCAATTTGCAACATATAATACAAATAGATATATTTGGTCATGAAAGACCATATATAAATGCTGACGAGCATTTATATATATTGTGAATTGTATCTAGCACTAGGGCAGGTACCCGCGCCTTGCGCGGTAAGTCGATGTTTTCGATGTCGAAAAAAATCTCATTCCACTCATTGTCAGGAGGTTCTTCGTCATTCTGATTCCCTACGGCCACAACCCTTCCAATCAGATCTGTATTTAGAATTTTTAAATCAAATACAATATTAGGACAAACAACTTTCTATGATATTTGAACTAAATGAGGGCGGTATGGTGTGCCTTCTTACCGCCGCATATATTTGTGTCCAAAGAGCCGCTTTTAATATCTTCAAAAGAGTCAAACTTGAAGAAATTGTCATAACTCATAGGTTGGATATTCCTAAACCAAGTCGTCGATTTCCAGTGTATCATAAAACGATGATCGGTAGGCCTAAATGTTCCAATCACGCGACTGAGAGAGAAACTCGACAAACTTATCCATGATCTTTCTGTCAGTCTCATAGAGAAGATGTCTTCGAATTCAATACCCATAACGGCATGTATTTTCTGACCCTATATATGTAGATATATATGTATCTTTTTAGTAAGTATATGAACATATATAAAGGTAAAAAATTGTATTATGATGTAGAAAAAATACCTCGTCATCAACTAAGATCAAATCAAAGGTCTTGTATCCAGTGAAAGAACATGTGAACTTTCTTAAAATTTTGACTTTAATTTTCCACTCATGAATATAAGGATTCAGAGCAGAAACATCAAACAGACACTCTCTCTTACCAATTCTCTTTTTAATAGCGTGTGAAAGTAGATGATCCATCGTAGGAGAGATGCAAAGAAAGGTATTTTTTTTTTCAAACTTGGAAAGCAAGCGAATGTCTCTCTCTATATATATAGTTTAGTTGAAGAGTTTTCGAAGATGCTAAATTACCTTTATCATAGATTTTTGCTTGTAGTGATAAAGGTAAATATCTATAATCATTATCAGTAAGTTTAATTGTTGACAATTTGTGTTCAGTATATATCTTATTAACAATTTGTGTTAAATATATATAATACTATTAATTAAACCGACAATGTAAGCATAATAAGATTTGGTTTGACGAACGTTATATTTTACATGTTGTTCGTAGAAATCAGATCGAACTAATTACGCGTCATTCACGTACCATGACGTCAATAATCTCATTAGTATTGGACGTGAATATTGAGAGGATAATAACTGTTTAAAGTTAGTATGAAAGAGTACTTAGGATGATCTAATCCTCAATATGTCGAGATAACGTCGCATTATTTGATATTATACGGTCAATCCAATTTGTTTTTTATAAGTCAAACTATCGCCTAGGCACACGAAACATCAATATTTCGTTTGATCGCAAGCAGCAATTTCGTATGAGATAGAAGACAAATATGTTATATATCGGAAGTTTCTAAATATCGATCGATTGACAATATTATCATTTATGTATAAAATACAGCACAATTATCTAAGATATCCTGTGAGTAATAAGATTGTGACAATAGAATACGATATTTCAATAGAACGTAAACGGCCAAAGTATTGTAAAATGTAAAAAGGAAAAAAGCCCATAAGAATAAAAAGTCAGAAAGTAAAATATCCCCAATCAGAAGCCAGAGATAATTATTTCTTCTTTGGAACACTTGTGCGAGTCCGCTTCCTTGAGATCCTATTACGAAACAAAAATTTTAAACCGTTATTATATAAGCTAGTCATGGAGAACACGCGTAAAACTAAGAATTCATAATATAACGACTCACGATGTCCTAAACTCAGCAACTTCTGGAATGCCAGGATTCAAACGGATTTGAGTGCATTCTGTTGCAGTTATAGTTCGCTTATCTAATATACATTAAAAACTTATTATTATTCTAGAAGATTATGGTAATCACAGCAAATCAATAAAATAAAAATCAGGATACAAATGCGTACGTACCTTGAAACACGTCCACGACACCCCATCGGATCACACAAATAATAACATCATATTGCCACTTTTTAAAAGACTTGTAGAAATTGACTGCCTCATAACCGACCAATTCACACTTCAAGACATTATTACTATAACACAACAACATAAACTTAGTGTCAATATAAAAAAAAAAAACACATTCACATATTAAGTTATAAGACAAAAAATACGTACCTGGAGTCACGAAGATCAAAAGAGATTTTATGATGCACGGAATAATCATCCAATTTGTCAGTTTTACGTTCTTCGATCGTCTTACCATCACAACCATCGAGGTTCTCTTCCTCCGACTCAGACACAGCGCTATATTTTGAGTCAACATCCTCCTCATCATCTTCGACGCCGTCTTCATAATCGTCCTCTTCCACTTCATAGAAATCATCATCGGACTCAGCCGCACAATCACTGTCATCTCATTCGTCATAGTCATCTACAAAATCGTACTCGTCCTCGCTTACCTCAGAAGCATCATCGTCAGTACTCGCAATGCGATCGTTGACCTCGTCAGTGTCAGTATCTTCTTCATCGTTATCAATTTGATATTCAGGATCATCTTCTACACAACCTTCGTCTTCGGTACACGACTCTTCGTCACTATCGCCGTCACCGGTCAGCTCTTCGACATCATCACTGTTGTAACCATCCAACGGCCCGGTACTCACAGTTTTGACGATATCTCCAGGAGGCTTTAGGCACGTCTTAATCAATCTTTTAAGATAAAAAATTTTCGGTAGAGAGTCACCATCCTCGGAACCATTGTCCTTTTTATAACCATCCAAACGATCCAAAGTTGGAAATTCACTAACATGAATGACTTGCCCAATAACATTGGAGAATTATTTATATTAACGTTAGTATCACAATTATGTTTAATCCATTAACAAATAAATTTAAACGTTATCTTAAAATACTTACCAACCGTTAACGCCATAAATTTATTAACAAATAATAAATTTAATCATCAGAATGAACGCCATACGTTATCTTTTTAAAATCAACGAAATCAAAGAAACAATCATCGCGCATAACAGACGCTATATCGATTTCAGTTGAATACGGAACAATTATTTTGTATCGATGATTAGTGGCCCTGCACGAACCATACTGCTCAACAACCTTAAAATCCTTAAAATCAAACCAATCACCAGGACTAATCTTAGAAGCATAACGATGGTAAGCACATCCTCTAAACGAAGCCTGCACCTTTGTACCCTTCCAAAAAGAACCAACAAAAAGAGAAAACATAAAAAAGATGATTAGAACAGAAATCCAACAATCATAATATAAGGAAAAAAAACATTAATTCACAAACCTTACTATCGGACAGAATTACTTCTAGACTTGTGCCAAGTTCACACTCTTCATGGTGCTAGACATTCAGAACCCGCACCCGGATAAGCCAATCAGTCTTAGAAGAATTCAAGAGCGAAACATCGTCAAACATCCTGTACCTCATCACCTGGCAAAATTAAGTAATGAGAAGGATCAGAAAGGGCTAAATCGTTACGGAAAGCAAGAATATCATAACGAAGTTGTAGTCATTATCTAATAAAGATCCTTACACTGGGAACAAAAAATCGAGTATGTCTAGTCGCTAATCACGGTGGTTTATGGTAGAGATATATCTATATATATAGATATACGGATAGACTCAACCAAAGTCATATAATTATAGAAAAATAACATTTTAAAAATCGTCGTGATACACACACAATCACAAAAAAATCGGTAAATATTACAAAAACATTATATTCATATTTATCTCCAAACTTCGCGGTTACCAAATAAAATACTGAGAATATTTAGTATAACATTTAAATACTTTTTAAAAAAAGAAACTAACATAATATGGAACATATAATTACATAAAGAGGAAAAACCGTAAACGATATCCATAGATTATTCCGCTAAAATGTCAACATTCATATATTCACATATTCATTCTAGCCAAAAAAAAAAAAATGGAAACATCTAACTTCCTATGAGCAAAACATATAGACATATATAATAATTATAATACGGAAATTTCTATAATCAGCAAAACGGAAAAATAGAAAACTGTTTAATAGTATAGAATATTTGTATATATCAATATTCAATACAATCTCGAAATATTTGGTAGTAAAACAGAATAAGTAGTTCTTATCGTAATAATTTGTGTTTATAATAATTGTTTAAAAGTTTCCGATATTTGTATATATCAATATTAAATACAATCTCGAAAGATTTGGTAGTAAAACATAATAAGTAGTTATTATCTTAACAATTTTGTTTGTATAATAATATTATATAGTATAATCTCCAATTACAAAAATAATGATTATGTGTATAATAAAATTGTATAGGATAACCTCAAGTAATACGTACCATAATATGGTCTATTTGTTAAGATCATATCAAATCAACCACAAAGATCATATAAAAAAAAGAAAATGAGATATATATATATTGCTATAGTTATTATTGATATATATGTGTTTCAACTTGATTTATGTAACTCAAATTATTAATAACATTTAAAATAAACGGATGCGATATTTCATCATTATTAACAGCATACGTTTTAAGGTTAATTGTGCTTTATTTCTCTAAGAACGGGTAAATTGGGTATAGCTAAACGAATAAGATAGTTTCAAATACGCTATAGTTCACATGATATACCGATATAAAGTGTCATGCCGCCGATTAGGTATAAACCATCGCATATATATTCGGAGTATTAATATTCTCAATAGCGAATATTTTTCCGGTAAAAAAATTAGAATAAGAATATGGGTAATATTATTCCCAAGACGATAAGCTCAACATATTCAAAAGTATTTCATTCATTAATACGGAAAAGATTTCGTTTACTAATACGAATTTAGTATAGTAAACAAAGATATCATAACCAAAACCTAAAAATACATCGAGATATCGATAACACGATAATGATAATTATAAGTCCGGAAACACATCTTCCAGTCCATATCGACTTGTGCCCCCTTTTTCATACGATCCGGACCACGTCGCGGCCGATGAATAATCTTCATAGACTCCATAATATAGAACACATCATGCTGAACAGATTTAAAGTTTACATATCACATAAATATATTTAAAACAATAAAACAATGCGTTATAAAAAAAAGGCAACACGTAAAAGAATACAGATCGTACCAAATATAATAAGGCCGCACGGTCGATCGATTGATGATCATAACTATATGATCACGCAATAGTAGAGCAATAAAATTAATTTTGTTTTTGGTAAAAAACGCATAAATCAAGCAAGATTAGGGAGATACCTCAGTTTGGTTTGAGATTTGTTTGCAATTCCATGATCCAAAAAGTTTATGCTTGTACCTGAGGAAAGAAAGAAGTGCTAATCAAAGTCATGAGAATTATCATGCATATATAAAACCAAACAGCTACGAAAATCAAAACATGTAATCGACCAAACTATAAACCTCGCGTAAACAACTCATCACGAATTGGCAAAGATCTTTGAAATCTTACTTTCCAAGTGAGCATAACATACAAAGGAGAAAAAAAAAACTGACGACGATGCATCATAGAAAGGACCAAATTTGAGGTACAATAAAGTACTATAAACCATAATTGCTATGCATAAAAATCAAGCCGTGATGTATGAGTTTCAAGGGAGGCATCCTATATTTATAGGATTTTTCAGCATAAAGGTTTAGGGTTTTACATATGACAGTGTAAATTATACCGGGCCATTTTTCCCCCGTAAAAGTATAAGCCCAATAAGCGAATGAACGAATTAGGGTTAAAGAAACGAAAATCGTTTATTTCCTTTTTTCAGAATTTCGTTTTTTTTTAACAAAATGGAAATTTAAATAATTTAATCTAATTAAATGGAGGGGGGTAAAAACGACTGCTCATATTCTGAGAGCGAACGTGAGCACTTTTGACTTCTCCTTTAATATATAAGATTTGCTACTAATCTATTTGCATGATATAATTCATCCCCCATGAGTAGATATTGGAATAAGTTAATTGAGGCATCTCAAACTATCCACATCAGCGAAATGAAAACTATGTAAGAGGATGCCACATTACCTACACCTTAGCCACGTCATCTAAAATATAGTGAAAGAAATTGTCTCTTCGCCTCCTCCCGAAAACGTTCGGCCACAAACTTTCCCTAAATCCATAAATCTCCCACAATGCCACAAACTCTTCGATTTCAAGCTTCTCTCATCTCCTATGGCTTCTGTTACTTTTGGATTCAATTTCAGCACATGTTCTTTGAAGCTCCTCCCATCTCATGTTTAACCGAAAAGACCATGATCTCTTCAGTTTTCAATGCGGTTTATACATCCAGAATCAACACAACCTTTGTAAATAGAGAATCCGGCAAACCATAGGTAAAACATCGCCCTTCTTCTTCTCATTCTCTTTAATCTACGGGAAGTCAAATTGTCGTATGACTATATATATATATTGAACGCATGTTGGCTTGCTCATTTAGAGGCTTCTCTCGATTTTAAACCTTTTTTCTGATTAAGTATCAAGTCACTGGATAATCAAACAAGTTTTTCATGGTGACCAAAAGCAGAACAAATTTACGGGAAGTTAAATTGTCATATGACCATATATATATATTGAACGCATGTTGGCTTGCTCATGTAGAGGCTTCTCTCGATTTTAAACCTTTTTTGTGATTATGTATCAAGTCACTGGATAATCAAACAAGTTTTTCATGGTGACCAAAAGCAGAAGAAAAATTGAAGGTACAAGAACATCCACAAGGGTGAGTGCATCTCAAGGTACGCCAGAAATAAAAACGAGATAACGGGGTATGTTTCTAAGCGAGTGTTTTTTAAGTGTATCATTATCTTTCTTTTTCCCTCCTCTACCATAAATAATTTATATAGTGTCTCCCTTACCGGGATGAAGTGTTTCAATTTCAGGGTTTGTTGTCTACGTTTTCGAATCTGAGATTATGTATTCACAAGATTCCAAAGATTGGCTCAGCTAATTAAATGGAGAAATGTTCTTTTATTAGGACTTCTAGAAATTATTACTTTATAGGTATAAAATTACATTGGTCATCTCTGCCACAGAAATCAACTCGCCTAGAAAGAGTTCCAAACTAAATTTGTAAAACTCAAAGATTCTTGCTAGCTTTCTTTGTTCTTTGGCCTTTCAGGCTATTATTTTTAATCCAAAAATCAATAAAGGCGTAAAAGATTTAATGTTATGTTTTTCCTTCGCTAATGCTCTTTCAGGCTATTGACAATCTTCCACGAATCTTGTGGCCGAATCCAAAAGAAAATTCCTACCTCTCTTTATTTTCAGGAACTCATCGATGTTAAAGATAATGGAATGGCATTTACGGCTATATTCAAGAAGTGGATATTGATGGTACGTATTTCTTCCAGATCTTGAGAATTCAAAGGATATATGAAAATCTAATTACAAAGTTTTCATACCCTTTGATCTTTTTCAAAGCTCTACCAAGTCACAGTTTTAAGTGGATGAAGTAATACCATGTATCCGGGATTACCAGGCCGGTATATACTTGGTATCCAGCACAAAAGCTTGATCGTTTATATTTAGTCTTAACAAAGAAATCCAGGATTGGTATCTTGATACAAGTCTAAATTTAAGGAAACAAAGATGGCTTGCATGTCCAGTAATGTATGTGTGCTTTTGAGAAAAACAACGTTTTACCGAAATAAACGCTTATAAAATTAGAGAAGATCAACATGAACGGTTGGCCTAACAAAGGTAAAGTCCTCGCCATATTAGATTTTTCAACGATAACAAAGGTTGGATTTGTGTGACATTTTTGCTTATAGATGATTGTAAAGTTTCATTTAATACTACCATTAGTATACATGTGTCCCATGCATCTACATAGTAGAAGCGGAACAGTTCTCTGGATATGAATATTTTTGTATTAAATGTAGCAGTTTCATTCTTAAACAAATTAAAAACAATGACACTGTTTAATACTTTTTGTAATTATTGTTTCATAAATACAATACTCCTAAATGGCTAAATCACTTTGTTAAACTTACCTTAATGATACAGTTTGGTTTTATCACACACAAATAGAGAAAACAAATATATGCTTACTCAATAGTCTTTTGCTAAAGTATTCCACAAAATTATCAAATGTGCTTAGTGTTACTAGAGAACTAATATGTTAATCATATGATTTAAGAAAAACAGAAGACAGAAGATAATTACAAAGAACTAATATTTCTTTACATAAAAAGATTAATATAAAATTTTAATTAAATTATATGATAGTTCACATCGATTTTGTTGAGAGTATACAACTCTCCGTTACTCTATAGTCTAGAAATCTATAAGACATATATAAGATAATTACAAAGAAAAAAGAAATGGTGAAGGAAACAAATATGATAGATATTACAAAAATCACATCATATATATGAAAGATGATCAACTCTCTCCATATGAGTGCCACATCATCACACAAAATATAACATGTGTCATTCTACATTATTTAAATAAAAAAATGAGCCAAATTAATTGAGAAAATTAGAAAATTAGAAAATGAGCCATTCTACATACTTGTAGCTTTTTTCTTTAAAATAAAATAAAAATTAGAAATTATGTTAATAAATTAAGCACTATTTTTATTTTACACATCTTATTTTAATATTTTTTTTTATTAATAATCACTATTCGATAATGACTGAAAATTTATTTGTGTTGTAGACTTGTAATGTAGTTGTTTGCTACCTAACCTTTTATTAGTTTAGTAATTTTACCTTAGTCTTTTCTCATTATTACGTTTTGTGGTTCATATACGACTTTTCATATGATCTTCTCTCTTTTTATTTTTGTGTCTTATGATAAGTTGATTACCTTGACATGAAAGTTTTTCAAGTAATAGGCCTTTGAGACGTTAGACATATCAAGATTTTCAGACACGGTCATTTCTCTTATATAGCTATATGCAATGGCAGAATATCTAAAAGCGTTGAGTTAAACGACATTTTTTTTTGTCTTTTTCTTCTTTTTATATGAAAACTCTCGAGATCTTGTTCAATTTATGTCAATCCAGTAGTTAATCATGAGACTATCACGATGTGGCTAGAATACTAGATCATGAGAGTACATAAAACAAGGAATTGTTTAATTATGATCAAGTCACGCAAGTTCCAAATCACACAAGTAACATAATTACATATAATTATATCAAAATATCCTACATTGTTGTTGTATGTATTCATGATAGTGAAAACAATTAGGATCTTAGATATATAAATAATCAGATTTATACATGAAAATGTCTAAATTGATATTCGAGTCAAAAATGAATTTAACCATAACTACATAAGATGAATCTAACTTTATTAACTATACAATAACAAATAAAAAAATAAACATAAATTAGCAACAAAAACAATCAGCATAATTTCTTCTTAACAATTTTCAAAACAAACCCACGCGTAGCGTGTGTATTCATCTAGTGGAGAAATAAGACATCTAGGCTCTAGCTTGAACAACTCAAGATTATAATCACAAAAACAAGCAACCAAGTTTGAGGCAGTGATACTAAAAGGAAAATCGATATCATATGCTTTATTTGCTAAACGAACAATCAAAATTAATAGACTATTGGTAATTCTTTGGAGATTTAAAGATTCTAATAATTATATATATATATATATATATATATATATAGAGAGAGAGAAAAATGTAACATACAATTATAGATATATAATTGGTTGAGTTACTCAAAAAGCACAAAAAAGGGCGTTAATTACCCATATGACGCGTACGATTTGTCGCTCGTTAAAGGCAGAATTGCCCCTCGTCTGATGTTGTGTGGGAAACGTAATTACGAATCTGCCATTAAAAGATGCTGCCACGTCAGTGAGAGAAGGTGTATTTTACCCGCGAAAATGTCCCGCGCCGACAAAAGTCTGTCGCTGTAGTGACGGCAGAGTTAATTAAATTATTAGATTTAATCGATAGAAATAAAAAAAAACTATATTTTTCAGGTAGATTAATATCATAGAGTTAATAATTGATAGAGTTTACGGATAGAGATATTTTATGTGGTAGCAGAGTTATTTGTTTCATAGAGTCATTTGACAGATTATGATGACTTTACGTTTACTCATATAACACCGTGATAGATTTAATTTTATGTGGTGGTAGAGTTATGTGACATTGTAAAATAATATATTTGTGAGGGAGAGTTTTATGTTATGGTGGTAGACTAAAAGAGCGATTTAGAGTTATATGACACAGAAACCGTAAAAAGTCTGTTACAACATGGTAGAGTTAATTATTTGGACAGAGTTAAGAAATAACTCTGTCATAACGAGGCATAGTAACAGTTTACTCAACTTGCACGTTTGGGCGTTTTTTTTGGACGTATGTGATGATAGATATGTAAGAAATTGTTATCGATTAGTGTTAAAGAGGGCGAACATAAAAAAAAAGCGAAAGTCTTGTTTACCCTTACATTAACGATTTATTACGCCGGAAACCTGTCTTGTTCCCCGAAGCAAACATTTTAGCAAAAAAAGTGTTGTTTATTACAGATCTATTGCTGTTTCATCTGGTGAAAGATGGTAGAAATTCCACTGGTATGTGGGAAGTGGAAATTTGCAAAAAACAAATGGTCATGTATTGTAGATGAAAGAAGAGGTTGCAGGGTACTGTCTGCGAAAGCACGAAGTTCGTTTGATGATTTTTTGGCAATGGTGTACGAGGATTTCGGGTTTGATAGAAAGGTTTATGAGGTTAAGCTTAGTTATAAATTGCATACGATGAACTTCATCGTCATTCCAGAAGATACTCCTCCGGTTATTGTATGTAACCGGTGCCAGTTAGAAGGATTTATCCGGCAATGCAATTCCGAATTCGTGGGGCACCTCTGTGTCCAAATCGAAGAATATGAAACTGAAAAATATATTTTCGACCCGAATGTATCACCTGAGAAAAAAGAGTCCAACGAAGAGCAGTATTACAAGAGTAAATCAGAAGGGAAACAACCAATTTATACTTGTTCAATGGACGGCGAAGCTTATCTAGAAGGAGAGGAACATAAAAGCGAGGATGAGGACGAGATTTACAGGTTTGATTGTTGCGATGATAGTGATGGAGCAAGCTCTGGGGATGAAGATTACGGTATGTCTTATAAGTTATCAGATGAGGAAACAGATGATGAAGATGAAGCTGATGCAGAAAAGTTGGAAGTTGAAGAAGAAGAAAATGCAGAGGAAGCAGCGGTTAAAGATGAAGAAGATGAAGAAATGGTAGATGTGCAAAATAAAGAAGAGAATAAAATCGTTCCAATTGGCAAGAGGGTGTCGATTACTGCAAAAGAGTATGTGCAATTACTTAGTGGAGGTGTTGCTATCGCTGTTGGGCAAAATATGAATCGAAATTTCAATTGGTGATTCGAATGAAGATAATTAGTGTCTTACAAAAATTTGACTTCGTCGTTGCTCGGTCTACGCCGTGGGTTTTTGCTGTAAAGTGTTGGGTTAAAGGGTGCACTTGGAGAGTTAGAGCTACACCGATTGATGCATCTGGGAATTTTCACATCAAAGTCTATGTGAATCAGCATACGTGTTCTGTAACAGAGCGATCCGCCCATTGTAGACAAGCAACCAAGGATATACTTGCAGTACTTTACAAGAATTTCGTTGGTGGTGTAGGCCCAGAAGTACTCCCTAATCATGTCTCTGAGGCGTTGAAACTGCGTTATGGCATCAAGGTAAGTCTATTTACTAGGTTTCCATATAAGTGCTCACACCCGTAAGGCTTTGTTAACTATATGACATAAACTTTCATCTCACTAGGTTGGATATTGGAAAGCTCATCGTACACTTAATTATGCACGTGAATTAGTTAGAGGTAGTCCGGAAACAGGGTATCAAAACCTTCCAGAATACTTATACAGGATTAGGAGAGCAAACCCCGGGAGCCTTACTAGGCTTGAAGTAGATGAGTTAGATAGATTCAAGTATGTTTTCATTTTATTTGGTGCTAGCATTGACGGCTTTACTTTTATGAGGAAAGTTATTGTTGTTGATGGTACATTTTTGAAGGGGAAATATTTAGGGACCTTGTTACTAGCAACCACACAAGATGGAAATTTCAATATATTTCCCTTAGCGTTTGCTGTTGTTGATTCAGAGAACGATGAATCCTGGGAATGGTTCTTCAGACAACTAAGCTGTGTTATTCCAGATGATCATGGACTAGCCATTATTTCGGATAGGCATAAATCTATTGCAAAAGCTATACGGACTGTATATCCACAAGCTAGCCGAGGGATTTGCACATACCATCTACACAAAAACATAAAGCTTAGATTTAGAGGAAGTGAAACATTTGGATTAGTGAAGAAGGCGGCTACAGCTTATCGGTTAGTAGATTTCAATGCAACTTTTGATATTATTAAAGCTTTGTATCCAGACCTGCACAGCTATTTGGTGCGGGCAGACATAACTACGTGGAGTAGGGTTCACTTTCCAGGAGATAGGTACAACTTCACAACAAGCAACATTGCTGAATCATTAAACAAAGTGTTAAATCCTGCTAGAAGGTATCCCATTGTTGAACTGCTAGACGATATAAGATTGATGTTAACTCGATGGTATGCTGCAAGGAGAAAACAGGCTGCGCTTATGACAACCATTCTCACTAAAGGAGTTGAAAAAGCACTAGAGGTATTACATTCCACATAATTTACTTTATTTTAAACTGTTTGCCTTTATTTTTTGATCCATCTATTTTAATTACTGTGTCTTTCCTCTAACAGTCCCGAGTGACTCGCGCTAGTAAGCTAAGTTTTCAGGATATTGATCTCCATCAATACGAAGTGAGGAGTCTTGCGTCTATGAATGTTGTTAATTTAAAACAGAAGAAGTGTACATGTCGTATGTTTGACCTCGACAAACTGCCTTGCAT